GAAGTACGTATATTACAATCTTGTTTTATGGAAGCACTGCTGCTAGCACAAGTGCTTTCCTAATTTCGAGACAAAGTTATCGGTCGTTGTGTGGTAATTTCATTCCTTCGTCATCGATTGCTTTAACTTAGTGTGTTTTCAAATCCGAATCGTTAGCAACATTGATCACTTTTATGCACAAGGTAATTGATACTTTCAAACGCAAAGCTGATGTCAGACAATCATGCGAACGTTTTTGTCCGTTCACAATCGTATTTTTATTATGGTGCCAACTTAATTCTTTGTTCATTATTTTAAAACGATATTGATTTTAAATTATATACGACTGGCTTATAAATAAAAAATGAATTTCGGAAAACTGACAGTTTCTAACAGATGACCATCAAATATTATCTTGTAATTGTCGAAGTACTGTACTTGTTATTGCCTCCAAAGGGGTAAAATAATTATTTATTTGCAGGGAGCGCATTATTGTCTATCTTTGCAGTTGCGACATCGTTTTAGCGATATTCGTATTGGTGCCCGGGTTTAGATGACTCTACGTTGCAGTGGAGTCGTATAAGACTATTTAAAATACATAACGCAGAGTTTCTTTTCAAATGTAAATAACCAACTTGAAGTGTGACAATCAGATTCAGATAGCTTGTTGCGTGACAGCAGGTCACGCAGCACGTCACGCAATATTCCCTTGCGTGATGCTCTGTAATATAAGTATAAATAGCTTCGGACTTTGCTTTTAAAAAATAACCCTTTCCTCTCGCTACTGTAAGGCCATATCAGATGAAACTTAGGCCTGTGTGATAGCAAAATTTACATGTTTACCCGGTCATCAATTAATATCAACTTTTTTTGGGGTCCAAAGCAGACTTAATGTCGGAAACTTCACAATCAATTTAAATCTTCATACTTCAATTCAACCGAGTGATAGCACTGTCAAGCTATTTTTATTAACAGTTTGGAGTGACGTGGGTCGATTGTTGTATTTTTATTTGCGATTTTCAAAAATGGGTTAAAAAAGTGAAAAGTCACAAAATTTCTTTTTCAAGTTGGTGGTTGTCTAGAAGAGGTGTTTATCGTGAAATTAGTCACAACATTTTCCATTAGAAGAGTGAATTTCCATTGATCCCTATCGACTCTGTGGCTTTTGTGAGGCATAACAATACAACAAAGATAGAGAAAATTGAGGAAGAAATTTAATCAATATAAATGAGGTTTAGAAACTGCTCAATTATGTAGCGACTGGCCTTAATCTTTCTCCCAGGTAATAAGATAAAATAAATCTCTGAAAATGTAATGATAAGAAATTTTATTAAGTCAGGGCAAAGTTGATCATTTTAATATTTCAGTCGATAGATTTAAGAGAGATTCATTTACAATTAAGGTATAGTATCGAACAATCTTTATTTCAGTTTTGCAGCGAACAGCCTCGATTCTGTCCTTCAAAGAAGCTTGGGTGAATATTTATTTTTGGTTTTACAGTGCGTAAGTTATAGTTAATAGTCAGTGTTTTGTCTTTAACGTTTCCTTTAGGCTTCGGGTTGAGTTATACAGTTTGTAGTTAAAAAACACAATTTCTAAGATTAAGGACGAAAATTTCTCTAAAGGTTTGCAAGACGAGCCTGTCAAAATTTTCAGGAAGGTTTTGTGTCACACAATGATGGCCAAGTATTTTGTGTTACTTGAGAGAAATTTTCGCGTGCTTAATTTTCGCGATCTCACAGACGACTCGTTAAATTTGAACAAAATAAAACCTTCGCAAGGTGCACAGGCAGCGTTAGAGTACTTAACTGGAATTTGGAACAATAATTAAGCTGATATTTAATGGCTGCATTTTTTTTATGAAAAGGTTTTGTAATATCCTTCAGGCAGTGTGCTTAAAAAGAGCTTAATCACTTTGAAAAATTAATTTAGGAACCTTTTTGGTCGTCCGTTGTAGTTAACCAAGTTTGACACTCGAAGAAATAGCTTTTAAAAGGCTTTATTTCATGAAAAAACCCAAATTATTGCCGCCTTGCTTGTTTGTTTTGAGCTTTTTGTATTTTGTTTTCAATTTGTTTCGTTCGCGAGATAGACAGATGGTATACTCTGGGCTTATGAATATTCATTGCTCGAATTCGATGTGTATTGTGAGACCAATATGGCTCCGTCGCCGGGATGATGTTGACACTGATGTTTGGTTTGCATTTTCTTTTGAGAGGTGCGTTCAAATTCATCAGATAAGTGTCGACGTTAAAAATAGTTTTTAACTTTGGCTGTCGATTTTTTTTTTCTCTGATTCAAGGTGGATCAAATGCAAATGGTAATTCAAAGGTAAGAATGAAATTTTGGTTGGAAACGAGTCGTTACTATTCGGAAAGAAATCTGAATTTAAGATTTTGAATTTCATTACAAATATAATGTTGATTAAGTCTTTTTCTTGATTGACTCTTCTGCACAAAAATGGACAGTCAAACCATTACAGACCACCAAAAAATTCACGAAAAAATCATAATTAAGATATATTTTGGTTAATTTTTGCGATGCAAATTAATTGTATGCGAGGTGACGATTAGTCAAACTCTTTTTTTGTCTTTGAGCTTTGACTTTCGCATAGTCTCCGAAACTTCGAATACTGCCGTAAGCGATGAGCTGAGAAGATGAAAATTTAGATTTCACGGAGGTAAGAACAGAGTTCTTTTGATAGCATTGTATATCAGTTTTAGTGAGCTTTTTAGCGTAAAGATGCACAAATTCGATGTTAATATACCGGGGCATTGCATGGTGTTTAATATATTCTGTTCGGACCAAATGGTGATTATACTTTAAAGATTAATATTGGGAAAGTAACACAATGAATTACCAAGGCAAACAGCTCCGATAACTTCTAGACGGGCTGAAAATTTAGGATCACGGCGGACGGAAGGAAGCATAGTTTAATGTTGCCATATCGAATACCTGAGGCGAAAGTTAAAATGAGAATGACAGACCAAACAACAATTCACAGACATAATATGGCTATTATGCACTTAATTCCTGGTCGCGATCGGAAATAGATATTATGTGTTGTCGAAAATCTCGATGTTTCCCGAGACGAAGTCGAGTGAAACATTCGAGGGAAAGATTCGAGGGAAAAGAAAATTAACTGCTTACCCAAGGGACCAGTAATTAAGTGTTTTGTTGTATAGCTGGAATTAAGTGTAAAATAATGGGGTGAGAAGACTTATCCCCATGTCAAAGTAACCTCTGGCTAGTGGAAGAACTTGTGACTTTTATGTTTAGCCACCTTAAATTGTCGAAACTTTAAGATGGCTCTGAACCCCATGTACAGAATTTTTTAACGTTGGCCAAAAGTTGCGTCTTATCCTGCTAATCAAAATCTGATTATAGAAATATGGGTTTCACAGTACAGTTTTTGAATTATAAGCACTTAAAGACAACATTAAGGGTGTTTTAAAAGGTCATAGTACTGCTATAGTACCCTTTTTGGTCACAAAAACGATAACAGCGTGTTGACTAATGTTTGGATAGTTTTTTTGTTGTTGAGAATTTGATTGTAGCAGCAGTTGATAAAGAGTGGTTATAATGACCCATCAAAATGTAAGTCTAAGAAAGTGCTGGAAACTATTTAAGCGGGAAATGAGTAAATTAAAATTGTTACTATGGAGACTAGAAGTGATTTTGAGACAGAAAATCTAGCATTTTAACGATTGTGGCAGTAAAAAGAAACAGCAGCAGCCACAACATCATCTTCATCAACAACAACAACAATAGCAACAACAACAACAACAATAAGAAATTTTTTGCGTTGTTGTCATCATTCATCACCAGTTCGGAAAGATAGCCAGCGTTCTCTTAAGTTGTTTGATTTTGTTGTTTTCTTTTCTTCTTCATACTTTTAGACTATCTTCCACATTTTGTTACATTGCATAAGTTAATGAACCTAAACAAGCAGAGTTTTAAACACATAGAATAATTCTAAAAGCCGTGTTATACTTAACACGCTATGACCAAAGGGTTTACTCACCTAAATTTCGTTTTACTGGTACCACCAGTGTTGACTCGTCATTCCTTAACTTGTAAAATCTATTCTGTATTATCCTCTGTTTCGGCGCGTCAGCAATGACTGTACAATATGGATTGCGTTACTTGGAAACCATTTCAAGTCGACTTCTTCCCAAAAGTGCGACTTTTGTCTCTAATATATTTCGTGACGACCTCTGTAAAATATCACTTTCTGTTTTAGAGTTTTTGTATTCTTAAAATTCCAAGGATATTTCCTTGACGGTTTAATGAGAATTTAATTGCTTTTGCCACCTTATGAGTTTCTGTCTTGGCATGTTTGCTCAATTTTTTTCGCGTGACCTAGACGGGGGTTATTTCCTAGTTAAAATAGACCAAACGAATATTTTTTTTAAGGAAACGCGTTTTACAAATCGTTACCAAGGCAACAGTGTTGTTTCTATAGTATTTTCGAGCGCACATCTCATTCAAAAACAACTTGAACTTTTTAAATCTTTATCTGCAAGTTGGAAGAATTGCTTTATTATTACTTTCTTCATGTTCTAGATAAAACGAGGGTTTGTTTACATTTCTTAATCCTGGAACTGTATTCGCGCGGAGGTGTTTTGTAAACATACGAGCAGCGAGGCGCTTAATGAGGCTTTTATTTGTCGAAAACACCTTCACTCACTAAGTTTTGTTGGTTGGAGTGTTTTATAATTAGACGCAAAGAGTACGTGTTTACCTTTTTTCGGGTTTTGTCACGAAAGCCTTGCCTGAATAATTTTTGCAGTACTCTTTGAAGATTGTTTCTGTTCGTGCTAAAACGTGATTGTCGAAGCCAATTTTCGTTTGTGAAAGTGCGCAATTTGTTCGACAGTTATTGGGGATTAGTTTTGATAAGGTCAGGAATTTTGAGTGAAAGCGATATGTACTCTTTTGTTTGCCCGATGGCAGTTTGTTTTGATTTCAACGCGGCGGGGCTCAGTCTTAGTTGTGTCTGTAGCTAGCGCTCAATTGAAATTGTATCCTCTGCGATAAGAAGATGAGCAACGAAAAAATGCAACGAATTGTAATCTTTAAGAATTCCTAATGGCAGTCTGGTCAGAAAAATGCTGTGTCAAGGGTTACCATATAGGTAAGTCATTCCTGATAAGTGTGTGTGCTTTCACGTACAAACACGCGAATTTCGAGTGCTCGCAAACGTTCATGAAAATTTCTACGCTCTGTTCACCGTTCGTACACCAAAGCGTCAGAGTCCACGTATTTGTTCACCGAAAGCGCCTGAAGCTTCACTTAACGAGCAGACCAAGTTGCATTTTAGTTCGTTTTACTTCGAGGAAGGAATAATTTGCAGATGATCGTCTTGTCAAAAGAAATGACAACATGGTAAGCGATTGTCGAAATGTTATTACACAATATGCGAGCCTGTAATAAGTTCAACAATAGATTGGAGTTTTTATAAAATACGTAAGTTACACTTCGAAGACATTTTGTAACATTTCTCACTGGTGTTGTTGTTACTTACTATTGTCCATACAAGGGTTGTATCGTCCTTGTTGTTTACGATGAGCAATACATTATTTCTCTCTTTCTTTTATGCGTTGAGCAGCATTTCGGCTAAAGCTGTAGTCATCAAGTCGTAGATTTTTCTAGTTTACTTCCTTATGATACGAGACTTTTGGGATAACAAGACAAAGTGTGGCACTGGAATCACACGATTACGTGACTGCTTTAAATTATTTGACACGCAACTTAGCGAAGCACGCGAACCATTCCTGACACTAGTTTTAGCGTTTCAAGTGTTGTAGACGGCGAGATATTATTGAATATGCTATAAAACAAGCGGCTTTAATTGTTTTTAATCAAATGTCGCATAACTAGCAAGAGATCATTGCCTTCAGTTCATTATTTTTTTCGAGATGTTCATACAGTATTATGTGATACGAAGATTCCAATGTCACGCGATCATTTTTGTCACGCTTTCTTACTCAGTACTGGCGCTAAAAATCTGGACAGACTTGTTTCTAATAGGCAGCAAACCAGCTTGTGCCCACACGCGAAAATTGAGTTCCAGTCTTGGTGAAAAATTGATAGATAATATTTTATGATCATTAGGACAAAATCAACAACAACATCAAAATCCAGAAAAACCATATTGTAAAGTTGGCAAATTAGTAAAATGTTTCTACAACCAAAGGGCACTAAGGCATTCCTACAAATCCATTTTCAATGTGTTGTGAATCCGAAGGGAACGAGAAAAGATGATAATTATTTTTACTTGTAGTAAGAACAATCCACAGTGTTATGTCGCTGCCTAGTGGGCACAGTGCTCGAGCACCGAGATTGAACACGGCCTAGAAGTTGACGTTTTGTTTCTTGTCGTACATTCTCAGGACGATGAAGAGGAGTTTGAGGCGGAAAATGAAAAGAGAGACATTGAACAGGAATACAAGGAGCTTACTGATTGGTTAAACGATGTGGAGAAAAGAGCATCTCTGATGGAACAACAATGGAGCGAGGAAGGTGAAGAGGATGAACCTAAAAAGAAACGTAAAGCGGTGAGTTAGGCAAGAGAGGATGAAGGGAGAGTAAGTCTCCCATGCAGGCCTTATTTCCAAGGTAATCCCTCTGAAGCTATTTTTAGATCACTCCTGGTTTCGGTAATCGGGGGGGGGTCTAGAAATCGGTGACGCGGATTTTGCTCACGTGGACGACTCAAGCAGCTTTACATGCATTTTCAAATGTTTAGGATGAACAAAACGAAATAAAATTGATGCGTGAAACTTAAATGGGTATAAAAATTCAAATGAGAATGAAATTGAAAACTGATACTGTAGATAAATGTCAAAGTGTCATCTTGTGAAAAATCACAAACGTTTCGGGTTTAGCCCGAAGTTTCCGTGCTGAACATTTAACGGTTTCACACTGAACAAGGGCTACTCCCGAAACAATTGTGATTTTTCACAAGATGACACTTTTTACAAGCATTTTCATCCACGCCGAAAACATTCACGCAACGCATGTGGTAACTGTGCCCTGAATATTGCGAATAACTTTGTACCATGCCTAGAAAGGGGGACTGCCTTGAGAATAAGGCTTATACGAGGGATTCACTCTCTTAGCCTTCAAAGTACCTTGAATTAAATGGACCAATTTCAATATATTTTAACAATTCTAACTTTGCTCCGAGGCTGTTTGTAACTTATCTTTAGGCATGGAATTGTGATATATTGTTAACAAAATTTAGCAAAAAAATAAAAAGTTACAAAAAAAAAAAAAAATCCCTTTGCTCCGAGGCTTAGGGGAAAAATCAAAAGAAAATGATAATACGTATTTCTTTTGTTTTATTCCCCTAAGCCTCGGAGCCAAGTTAGAATTTAAATATAGCGAAATGGGCCTATTGTCTTCTCCTTCATACTTCTTGATGTAATTGTAATTGTCATGCATTTTCATGACGCATTTTCCATATGGATCTGTTCCAATCATGTGTTTTAGTATTAAAATTGCAATTCAACTCCGCGGTGAGATCCCGCTTCAGCATTTTATTACACCCCACCCATCCTACCCATGAATACATACAAACAGGCTAGAACATAACGCTGTTCTTTTTGGAAAAGTGATTAAAATGTGTCAGAGTCTCTGCTGAGTTGGTGGTCGATTAAGGGGTCAACAATTCCTTGTGCTGACTCCGTAATCTTAAAAGGTATTTTTCCGGCGTTTGTTGCGAATTTCAATGCACTAAACAGTCATTCACCCGACTGTATCCTTTCCCCAAAGCAATTCTTTTCAAGCTCATGGACACTTTTCTACAAATAAACCAAACGTCGATGTTCCTCACATTTGTCATCTTCAAAACATTGTTCAGAAAATTATGCCAGTCTTTTGCTTCAGTGAACGTTGGTAAAATACCAACCAAATACTCATTTCATTACTATGTTCTTATTATGGCCTGACTGGCAGAAGTAAGCAATTTTTATTCTTCTTGGGGCTTAGGTCTTATATTCGGTCTTGTCAAATTCTCTCTTTTTTCGCTGTCAGCAGTTGCTGGGAAAGACTGTTTTTCTTTATCTACATCATTTGCATTCTGTGCTAAAACTGCCAGAAAGCAGTCTAGCGTATCCGAGTTTTTCCAATTTTTTTTTGTTCATTCAGACATCTTTGATCGAGGGAGTCTATCCGTACATTTGAACTCTAATTACACAGAATAACGTTATTTGTTCCTTCCAGTAATTTTGTCACCTTTAAATTGTTCTTGTTCAATAACTGCTGTTGTTGGCGTCGATTTTCAATGCTGATACCATTCACAAAGACGTCTAAACGGCTTTTCATCTATTGTTAGTAATCGTGGCTTATTATGTTCGTATAATAGCTTAGATTCTGAGCAAACAATGGTTATTGACTCTCGAAGTAAATTTGCATTGATAAAATCTTTGGCATCACAGGAAAACATAAGTAAGTCTTTTGTGTGTTGCGTCGAGAACAAACCGGCAACGAAATTACAGCAAATTGACGATCGTGTAAGCTGGCTGGGCTGAATGCAAGATTTGCTTTGTAATGAAAATCAAGTCATTTGCGGTTGTTGTATTTTTGGAGGCCGCTGCCGCAGTAACCTGTCAGCATATCCACTCAAGGTACATTAAATAACATACTCGTCTAACGAGTAAACACAGAGCTTAAACTGGCCTGAGTGGCTGCAAGGGACTCTTCGATTGTGTTCAGTTGCAAAGGTTAATAATTAATAAAAAGACTTTTAGCTCGTGGTTCTATTGGTTGATAATTGGCTTGGGGTGAAGCTGCCCGGAACCAACTGTCAAAGTCGATCGTCAGCAAGATAGAATAGCCTAAATGTTTAAGCATAACCGAGTCGCTGTTAAATTAAATATATTTTATCTATCAACCTGATATGCTGGCGGATCTGTTTGATGTAAAATATCAGTAAAAAGAAACGAAAAACCGCGCGGCCTCCGAAGGCCTTTTGTCGATTGATATTAGTTTTCTGTTTAGCCAATCACATTGCAGGTTTGCCAATAGCCAGCCACTACGTTATGCGTGAATAAATCCATGATCAAAAGCTAGTTTCCTCTTAGAATATCAACACGCTGCAGAGTACAACTAAGTAAGCACTACTCTACCTCTATTGCCACACTAGTGGGTTTTCATTTTTGTGCAACATCGTCACATATGGTTTGTTTTCTTTCAACAGAAACAGATACAGATTTTTCGGCAGCAAATCCAACGTCGCGAATACCATATTAGTCGGATAATCGAGACGAAATATCCCGAATTTTCTCTTCCCGAAGACAAGCTAAAGGTTCTCGTAACGAAGTGGGAAATAGTCAAACAGAAGGTGACCGTGTTGGAAGAGAAGATCTGGGAAGTAGGGCGTCACGTGAGAAAGGATGGCAAGCTTGGTAACCTGTTGTTATGGTTACACGAAGCCGAGGCCCTTCTCAACTATTACGAGACGGACGAGAGCTGGGTCTGTGAAGTTCCCGCCAAATTTCTCTTGAGACAACACGAGGTAAGTCTAAGCTTTATTTAAGAAGCAATTTTTTTTCTCTGTTTTATGGTGTGTTTTGGCAAAGATTCAGGTGATACTCGAGTACTTGCCAAGGGATGTCTGTTAAGATGTAATGATATATATTTTTTGCGATGTGCAAGTCACCTTGAAATCACGTAAAATCTTAGTCTCCTTAGCAGCATCGTCGTCGTCGGTGTCTTCACGTACCGCTCAGTTCTATCGGAGGAGGAAGCGTTGCGAAGGGGACTAATAAAATCTAAAAATAGTAACTTATTTAGCTACAAAACAGCAATTAGTTAAGTCTACATACGAGCCAAATGGCCCATCAGGCCTAAGCTTATCCCGGTTTTTGTAGCGTGAAGCGACTAGGAGTATTTCTACTCCCCCCTGGATGGGATGGTACTCCATCGCAGGGTTACCGGTACCCATTCATACACCTGGGTCGAGAGAGGCACTGTGAGAGTAAAGTGTCTTGCCCAAGAACACAACGCAATGTCCCCGGCCAGGGGTCGAACCCGGACTACTTTATCCGGAGACGAGCGCACTAACCATGAGGCCACCGCGCCTCCCACTAACAGCAAACAGCAAAAAGGCTGTAACAAACCAAAACGAAAGACAGACGGTCAAGAGAACAAATGACAGATAGTTGTGCGGCTTGAGAAGACTAAGGTAGGTTGAATTGAATGAGAAATTTATAGTTTATGTATCGTTGAAACGGGTATCAAATGTTGGCCACCTAGTGTTTATGATTAGAATCTTAATTTGCGCATACTAAAGGAAAACACGAAAAAAGCAAACAAAACGAGACAAAACATAACCTTGCAATCGTTCTCTTAAAGCTCTTTCCTGTGTCAACTCACTGACCTCTTGGCGTCTTTATTTCATACCCAGACTTTCTTCAAGGACTTGGACGAGCACTGTAAAGGTCTGGACGCTATTCTTCAATCTGGTGCAGACGAAGATGTCCTGGTGGACGCGTCGTTGCTAAAAGAAGTTGACAGTCGCATCAAAGCAGTCCAAGAGAAGTCCGCTGACAGGCTGTTGAGGCTCGCTTATGAGAACTCTAGGTCAAAAATTTTAGGGTTGTTAGACGCTGGACGAAAGCAATTGAATATTCAGCCAGTCAAGTACGCATCGCAGGCTCATGTAGAGAAAGCTCTCAAGGAATACACGGTAAGCATAAAGTGACCAGCCTCTGATGTCAAAATGCAGATTCTCCTTACTGGTCCCTATGCTTTGGAGAATTTGATTTTAGGTATTTATGACTTAACTTGACCGACTTGTATTTCTTGTGCTCTTGGGGCTCCTCTGTCACTGGTCCCTTACCTTGTACCGGGAACTCGTAAGCCCATTGAAAACCTCTGTTTACAACTGACGGTCAAAATTATTCTGACTCATTTGCCAGATGAACGTGAAATTTACATCCAGTGGACCAATGATTAATTCCCTCCAGGAGATGCACCTACAAGGAATTATGGTAGTTGTATTCATCATCTTGGACTGGATGTTTATTTTGATGAATACCACTAACATGATTCCCTGCAGGCCTATCTCATAGAGGGAATCGAATTGACCATTGACAGTTAAACACATTCAGTTGGGGTCTTTTATTTAGTAGAAAAAATTACCGTCATTTGTTTGTTTATGGTAAATCGTGTCCAACTGAAGACCCCTTTTTGCGTTATATTACACGTTTCATCCGTTGAACGGCAAACTAAGTTTTTCACTGAAGGTCATTTTTAAGGCCAAGCTTTTGTGTAGCCTCACCAACTTTCTTTGGTCTTTTGTTTGTTTCGCCCAAACTCTCTCTGTGTAGATGTTTTTTGTCGACAAGGAGTTCCTGAAGAAATGCAAAAAGTACCGGCGAAGTCTCCACGAAGCTTCTGAAGCTTACATGAACATTCTTCCGGAATCTCGCACGACGGAAGTCAAAAGCCTTGTATGGAACGTGGATCAGCAGGTGGATAAGATGGTCGATGAGGCCACTGCAAAATACAGATACCTCGATGATGTCAACAAGAAGTGGAAAACATTTGATACGCTGATAGAATCCGTGACAAAATGGATGGAAGATGCAGAGGCGCTAATCACGAATGGAACCCTCAAGGCTTGTAAGGTAAGTCGTGTAAAGTGATCATGAACGTTGAGAACCTGAAGGTGTATTGTTCTACCCGTTAGGAGTAGGGTAAGTGGGGTGGGGGTGGTTGTAGGGTAAGTGGGGTGGGTCGGGGGAGGGTGGGGGTGGTTGCAGGGTTAATTCTTACTTGAGGACTTGAGTCTGCGGAAGACTTAACAGAATGTTTGGAAACGCAGAGGTAAATCACGTTGAAGCCCTTAGTTGACACTTCAGTCATTTTTTAAGTGCTTACTTTGTAAAGACAACTGCGGTAATCACTTCTTCCCTTTGGTCTTAATTCATGTTCATTTTGATGACCTGTACGAAATTTTCTTCTCAGTTGGAAAGTAGTCGAGTGGCAAAATGAATAGCCCATTTCCGAGTTGCCTTAAGCCTCTAGCAAAGCGAGACCTGGTTATTTTTATTTGCATGCGAATGAAATCTCATTTTCATATGGAAGGATGGGCACCAAAACTCACTTTGAGGAGGAGACTAAAGGTAATTCGGAAATGGCCTATTTGATATACCTTGGCATAGGTTTTTCAAACTCTGGAACATACATGTAACCAAGAGCAGCAGCTACCGAAGTTGCAAAGAAAAATATACCGTAAAATCGAAATTTTATGGTAACTCAACAGTGCACGCATCGCATGCCTGTGTTTTAACTAAGTTTCTCCGTGGTTTAACGCCATAGGATTACCTGAAAGATTTAGAGAGAATCCAATCAGACGCCTCCACAGCTCAAGACTGCAGTAAAACAATAATAGCACACTGCCAAGACCGAGTGAAAATCGACATGAATCAGCTTCTACGAGACATGGATCGGCGTCTGAACCGCATCATCCGGCGCAACTCGCGGATCATGAAATGCGACAAGCGCAACTCCAAACTGGAGAAATTCGAGGGCACAGTGGACGGTGTTATGGACTGGATTCACGACGCTGAACTTTTCGTTTCGTCTGCTGTGGAGGGGATGTACGAAGCTGTGAAAGAACGCACCGACAGGCTTGAGGTAAACGAGGATTTCTGTACGGCAACGTCTGCTTGCGCGCTTTGTTTTTCGTTGTTACGCGCGAAGTGGTAAGCTGCGTTATTCGTGCACGGTTTGATGTGTTATACAGTTGACAATGCTGTTACATGTATATTTGTTTTCTGTGATGTGCGTGGGAGAGTTAAGATACAATAAAGTTGTTGATTAGTTTGTGACCTCTGTAAACCGTTCTTTTTATGATTTCTGTTTTATTTACCCTAACAACAGTGGCAAAATTTACACAGCATTATGCTTCATTGACTTTCCTTGTTACTTCCATGGAAAACGAACGGAAAATACGCTTTGAGTACTTCTTATGCATCCCTTGTGCTCTTGGTGCCAAGCTACCTTGTCAATTCATAACTCGATAGGTCCATGAGATGAGCATAAATCGAATCTCAATCTTCGTTCTCAGTCGTTCAGTGTTGTGTGCATGATGATAAGTACTTATTCTTGTTTTGACATTTCAGGTGACACAAAGGGAGATCGAAGAATGCGAATCTAACGTAAACTCGTTAAACAGACTCACCAAAGCCATTCTCAAAGATTTCAAAACGGACATGGCCTCCTCCATAAATGCGACGCTATCAAACATTAATCGGAGATTTGAGAAGATCAAAGCCTCGGTTCCTCACAGGTATTTTGTTTAAAGGATTCTCTTGTAATTCAGACTGTGTCCAGTTTAACTCTGTCACTCTTAAGAGCTCCTTACGGCATAATATAATGTTTGGACATCAACGAGACCATTAACAAGTATAACCATACGTGACTTACTAATCTACAACTTTTGTAACTTTTTCCTCTTGCACTTTTAAGGTCAAATTCATATCTGACAAGACACCACACACTAAGACCTGCAAATTAAGTTCTAGTCTAGGGGTGTACTTACTATCTACAAGGAATGGGAAATCTTCTAAGGTTTTTTGTTTTTCGGTTTGGACACTGTAAAATCTTACCTTACTGTATGCTTGTTGGTCATAATGCTGTTCCGTATACGAACATGTACAAATGCGTGAAATGGTACGCCATATTTAGTTCTAGTGTTCACAGCTTCAAAGAGAGATAGAAGGTTTTACTGACAAATCAATACCAGCCTTTTCCAGAATGGGCCGGTTACAAAACACTTAGCCAGAGCGCCTCTGACTTGGCTGAAAATAGATAAAAATGCATCGAAGTAAACTGTTTCTTATCTCATTTTTGGTATCATCAGGTATCTGACACTAAAGCAGATCTTACCTCAGCTAGAACAGTTTGAATCTGGCTTTGAAGACGAACTCAAGTGGTTGGAGGAAGCTCTGGTGGCGTTGGAAGCTTACAAGAATGTGAACACTTTAGAAGAAGTTGAACGAGAGCTTGGAAGATATACGGTGAGTAGACACTCTAAACGCAAAGTGAAATACCATTAAGGCCTCGTCTACTCGTATCCGGATATCTTTTGATTCCGCAACTTTTTCTTTCCGGATTCAAAAATTTCTCCGTCCACACGTGGCAAAAATTTCCGGATTCGCTGCCGAATTCGCCGGATGCGTGTGGATGGAAGCCGCGTCCGGAAAGAAAAAGTTGCGGATTCAAAAATATCCGGATACATGTGGGCGGGGCCTAAGTCACGAAAGTAACTGAAAGTAGCGTCCCCTAATTCAAATGTCACGCGTTGCTAGTGAACCTCCGAAAGTAACGGACGCTTCGAAAGTTGCGACTTCAAATGTAACAATACTTGCATTCTCCTACCTCCTACATTCTCAATTTAACAGTTCATTACTAGGATTCTCATTGAAAAGGGAGTAGAGGGCTTGTTTCATGAAGTAGACAGCTGACACCGCTTTGAGTGCGGAAGGCACAAGCCTCTAGGGAGGTCTGAGGGCATGCTCCCTCAGAAACGTTTGAAATTGAGAAGCTCTGAAATGCGATTTTGCGCATTCTCTTGGAGATAATTATTTCGTTTTCCAAAATCAATTTTTGAAAAGGTCAAAACACCAAGAATATTTAGGGATTAGAATGACTTTTTTCAATTTTTATTCTACAGCAGTAGCGTAATTGAAAACTTACACCGTACACCACACCCTGACNTTGCAGGTTTGCCAATAGCCAGCCACTACGTTATGCGTGAATAAATCCATGATCAAAAGCTAGTTTCCTCTTAGAATATCAACACGCTGCAGAGTACAACTAAGTAAGCACTACTCTACCTCTATTGCCACACTAGTGGGTTTTCATTTTTGTGCAACATCGTCACATATGGTTTGTTTTCTTTCAACAGAAACAGATACAGATTTTTCGGCAGCAAATCCAACGTCGCGAATACCATATTAGTCGGATAATCGAGACGAAATATCCCGAATTTTCTCTTCCCGAAGACAAGCTAAAGGTTCTCGTAACGAAGTGGGAAATAGTCAAACAGAAGGTGACCGTGTTGGAAGAGAAGATCTGGGAAGTAGGGCGTCACGTGAGAAAGGATGGCAAGCTTGGTAACCTGTTGTTATGGTTACACGAAGCCGAGGCCCTTCTCAACTATTACGAGACGGACGAGAGCTGGGTCTGTGAAGTTCCCGCCAAATTTCTCTTGAGACAACACGAGGTAAGTCTAAGCTTTATTTAAGAAGCAATTTTTTTTCTCTGTTTTATGGTGTGTTTTGGCAAAGATTCAGGTGATACTCGAGTACTTGCCAAGGGATGTCTGTTAAGATGTAATGATATATATTTTTTGCGATGTGCAAGTCACCTTGAAATCACGTAAAATCTTAGTCTCCTTAGCAGCATCGTCGTCGTCGGTGTCTTCACGTACCGCTCAGTTCTATCGGAGGAGGAAGCGTTGCGAAGGGGACTAATAAAATCTAAAAATAGTAACTTATTTAGCTACAAAACAGCAATTAGTTAAGTCTACATACGAGCCAAATGGCCCATCAGGCCTAAGCTTATCCCGGTTTTTGTAGCGTGAAGCGACTAGGAGTATTTCTACTCCCCCCTGGATGGGATGGTACTCCATCGCAGGGTTACCGGTACCCATTCATACACCTGGGTCGAGAGAGGCACTGTGAGAGTAAAGTGTCTTGCCCAAGAACACAACGCAATGTCCCCGGCCAGGGGTCGAACCCGGACTACTTGATCCGGAGACGAGCGCACTAACCATGAGGCCACCGCGCCTCCCACTAACAGCAAACAGCAAAAAGGCTGTAACAAACCAAAACGAAAGACAGACGGTCAAGAGAACAAATGACAGATAGTTGTGCGGCTTGAGAAGACTAAGGTAGGTTGAATTGAATGAGAAATTTATAGTTTATGTATCGTTGAAACGGGTATCAAATGTTGGCCACCTAGTGTTTATGATTAGAATCTTAATTTGCGCATACTAAAGGAAAACACGAAAAAAGCAAACAAAACGAGACAAAACATAACCTTGCAATCGTTCTCTTAAAGCTCTTTCCTGTGTCAACTCACTGACCTCTTGGCGTCTTTATTTCATACCCAGACTTTCTTCAAGGACTTGGACGAGCACTGTAAAGGTCTGGACGCTATTCTTCAATCTGGTGCAGACGAAGATGTCCTGGTGGACGCGTCGTTGCTAAAAGAAGTTGACAGTCGCATCAAAGCAGTCCAAGAGAAGTCCGCTGACAGGCTGTTGAGGCTCGCTTATGAGAACTCTAGGTCAAAAATTTTAGGGTTGTTAGACGCTGGACGAAAGCAATTGAATATTCAGCCAGTCAAGTACGCATCGCAGGCTCATGTAGAGAAAGCTCTCAAGGAATACACGGTAAGCATAAAGTGACCAGCCTCTGATGTCAAAATGCAGATTCTCCTTACTGGTCCCTATGCTTTGGAGAATTTGATTTTAGGTATTTATGACTTAACTTGACCGACTTGTATTTCTTGTGCTCTTGGGGCTCCTCTGTCACTGGTCCCTTACCTTGTACCGGGAACTCGTAAGCCCATTGAAAACCTCTGTTTACAACTGACGGTCAAAATTATTCTGACTCATTTGCCAGATGAACGTGAAATTTACATCCAGTGGACCAATGATTAATTCCCTCCAGGAGATGCACCTACAAGGAATTATGGTAGTTGTATTCATCATCTTGGACTGGATGTTTATTTTGATGAATACCACTAACATGATTCCCTGCAGGCCTATCTCATAGAGGGAATCGAATTGACCATTGACAGTTAAACACATTCAGTTGGGGTCTTTTATTTAGTAGAAAAAATTACCGTCATTTGTTTGTTTATGGTAAATCGTGTCCAACTGAAGACCCCTTTTTGCGTTATATTACACGTTTCATCCGTTGAACGGCAAACTAAGTTTTTCACTGAAGGTCATTTTTAAGGCCAAGCTTTTGTGTAGCCTCACCAACTTTCTTTGGTCTTTTGTTTGTTTCGCCCAAACTCTCTCTGTGTAGATGTTTTTTGTCGACAAGGAGTTCCTGAAGAAATGCAAAAAGTACCGGCGAAGTCTCCACGAAGCTTCTGAAGCTTACATGAACATTCTTCCGGAATCTCGCACGACGGAAGTCAAAAGCCTTGTATGGAACGTGGATCAGCAGGTGGATAAGATGGTCGATGAGGCCACTGCAAAATACAGATACCTCGATGATGTCAACAAGAAGTGGAAAACATTTGATACGCTGATAGAATCCGTGACAAAATGGATGGAAGATGCAGAGGCGCTAATCACGAATGGAACCCTCAAGGCTTGTAAGGTAAGTCGTGTAAAGTGATCATGAACGTTGAGAACCTGAAGGTGTATTGTTCTACCCGTTAGGAGTAGGGTAAGTGGGGTGGGGGTGGTTGTAGGGTAAGTGGGGTGGGTCGGGGGAGGGTGGGGGTGGTTGCAGGGTTAATTCTTACTTGAGGACTTGAGTCTGCGGAAGACTTAACAGAATGTTTGGAAACGCAGAGGTAAATCACGTTGAAGCCCTTAGTTGACACTTCAGTCATTTTTTAAGTGCTTACTTTGTAAAGACAACTGCGGTAATCACTTCTTCCCTTTGGTCTTAATTCATGTTCATTTTGATGACCTGTACGAAATTTTCTTCTCAGTTGGAAAGTAGTCGAGTGGCAAAATGAATAGCCCATTTCCGAGTTGCCTTAAGCCTCTAGCAAAGCGAGACCTGGTTATTTTTATTTGCATGCGAATGAAATCTCATTTTCATATGGAAGGATGGGCACCAAAACTCACTTTGAGGAGGAGACTAAAGGTAATTCGGAAATGGCCTATTTGATATACCTTGGCATAGGTTTTTCAAACTCTGGAACATACATGTAACCAAGAGCAGCAGCTACCGAAGTTGCAAAGAAAAATATACCGTAAAATCGAAATTTTATGGTAACTCAACAGTGCACGCATCGCATGCCTGTGTTTTAACTAAGTTTCTCCGTGGTTTAACGCCATAGGATTACCTGAAAGATTTAGAGAGAATCCAATCAGACGCCTCCACAGCTCAAGACTGCAGTAAAACAATAATAGCACACTGCCAAGACCGAGTGAAAATCGACATGAATCAGCTTCTACGAGACATGGATCGGCGTCTGAACCGCATCATCCGGCGCAACTCGCGGATCATGAAATGCGACAAGCGCAACTCCAAACTGGAGAAATTCGAGGGCACAGTGGACGGTGTTATGGACTGGATTCACGACGCTGAACTTTTCGTTTCGTCTGCTGTGGAGGGGACGTACGAAGCTGTGAAAGAACGCACCGACAGGCTTGAGGTAAACGAGGATTTCTGTACGGCAACGTCTGCTTGCGCGCTTTGTTTTTCGTTGTTACGCGCGAAGTGGTAAGCTGCGTTATTCGTGCACGGTTTGATGTGTTATACAGTTGACAATGCTGTTACATGTATATTTGTTTTCTGTGATGTGCGTGGGAGAGTTAAGATACAATAAAGTTGTTGATTAGTTTGTGACCTCTGTAAACCGTTCTTTTTATGATTTCTGTTTTATTTACCCTAACAACAGTGGCAAAATTTACACAGCATTATGCTTCATTGACTTTCCTTGTTACTTCCATGGAAAACGAACGGAAAATACGCTTTGAGTACTTCTTATGCATCCCTTGTGCTCTTGGTGCCAAGCTACCTTGTCAATTCATAACTCGATAGGTCCATGAGATGAGCATAAATCGAATCTCAATCTTCGTTCTCAGTCGTTCAGTGTTGTGTGCATGATGATAAGTACTTATTCTTGTTTTGACATTTCAGGTGACACAAAGGGAGATCGAAGAATGCGAATCTAACGTAAACTCGTTAAACAGACTCACCAAAGCCATTCTCAAAGATTTCAAAACGGACATGGCCTCCTCCATAAATGCGACGCTATCAAACATTAATCGGAGATTTGAGAAGATCAAAGCCTCGGTTCCTCACAGGTATTTTGTTTAAAGGATTCTCTTGTAATTCAGACTGTGTCCAGTTTAACTCTGTCACTCTTAAGAGCTCCTTACGGCATAATATAATGTTTGGACATCAACGAGACCATTAACAAGTATAACCATACGTGACTTACTAATCTACAACTTTTGTAACTTTTTCCTCTTGCACTTTTAAGGTCAAATTCATATCTGACAAGACACCACACACTAAGACCTGCAAATTAAGTTCTAGTCTAGGGGTGTACTTACTATCTACAAGGAATGGGAAATCTTCTAAGGTTTTTTGTTTTTCGGTTTGGACACTGTAAAATCTTACCTTACTGTATGCTTGTTGGTCATAATGCTGTTCCGTATACGAACATGTACAAATGCGTGAAATGGTACGCCATATTTAGTTCTAGTGTTCACAGCTTCAAAGAGAGATAGAAGGTTTTACTGACAAATCAATACCAGCCTTTTCCAGAATGGGCCGGTTACAAAACACTTAGCCAGAGCGCCTCTGACTTGGCTGAAAATAGATAAAAATGCATCGAAGTAAACTGTTTCTTATCTCATTTTTGGTATCATCAGGTATCTGACACTAAAGCAGATCTTACCTCAGCTAGAACAGTTTGAATCTGGCTTTGAAGACGAACTCAAGTGGTTGGAGGAAGCTCTGGTGGCGTTGGAAGCTTACAAGAATGTGAACACTTTAGAAGAAGTTGAACGAGAGCTTGGAAGATATACGGTGAGTAGACACTCTAAACGCAAAGTGAAATACCATTAAGGCCTCGTCTACTCGTATCCGGATATCTTTTGATTCCGCAACTTTTTCTTTCCGGATTCAAAAATTTCTCCGTCCACACGTGGCAAAAATTTCCGGATTCGCTGCCGAATTCGCCGGATGCGTGTGGATGGAAGCCGCGTCCGGAAAGAAAAAGTTGCGGATTCAAAAATATCCGGATACATGTGGGCGGGGCCTAAGTCACGAAAGTAACTGAAAGTAGCGTCCCCTAATTCAAATGTCACGCGTTGCTAGTGAACCTCCGAAAGTAACGGACGCTTCGAAAGTTGCGACTTCAAATGTAACAATACTTGCATTCTCCTACCTCCTACATTCTCAATTTAACAGTTCATTACTAGGATTCTCATTGAAAAGGGAGTAGAGGGCTTGTTTCATGAAGTAGACAGCTGACACCGCTTTGAGTGCGGAAGGCACAAGCCTCTAGGGAGGTCTGAGGGCATGCTCCCACAGAAACGTTTGAAATTGAGAAGCTCTGAAATGCGATTTTGCGCATTCTCTTGGAGATAATTATTTCGTTTTCCAAAATCAATTTTTGAAAAGGTCAAAACACCAAGAATATTTAGGGATTAGAATGACTTTTTTCAATTTTTATTCTACAGCAGTAGCGTAATTGAAAACTTACACCGTACACCACACCCTGACCCCATTCCCTATCTCCAGCCACAGCCTTGACTGTCCCGAGACAAAGACAGGCAAGGTTCAGTCACGTTAAAAAGAACCTGTGTTCTCCCTCGATTACTCTTTACAACTTACACACCAAAATTTCGCGAAAAGTAGGCTGCTTAGAAATTGAAGTAGCCGGTTTTTTAGCTGACGGCCGGCACTAAATGAGAACTCTGGAACTTAAAACGCACACCTAGTAACAACTGAGATAATTTTCCTGATCACAGATTTCAGCATTCCCCTCTAGACCTTCCTACATACAGTTAATAATATTACCCTAACCGATAGTTCAATGTCATTCATTGTTGCCTTTATTCCAGAAACTTTTTGAGGACATGGACCAACATGGAAACTTTGTGGAATCCAGAAATCAACTGTACCTCCAACTACGTAACTCACTGGCGGAGAATGTGGAGTTCTCAAAGCCGCAGGAAAAAATTCTTTCTCTCAACTCCAAATGGAAAATCGTCCAAGCAGGGGTAGAAACACACTCTCGCAATCTGGAAGACTGTTACAAATTGCTGCAGCATTTTGAGCAAAACGCCAAGAAAATGCGCTCGTGGACTCTGGAATCAGATTTGACTCATGTAAGCTGTGATTTTTCTTAAATGTTTTTAACTTAAATTTAGAAAAGACCTTTACTTTAAAGAACAGTCAGTCTCCGTCATTTTCGATGCCATCGAAATGATGGATGTTGCATGGTAAAGCGAAATCTTATTGCTTCACTGTAAGTCGCGTTGCTAATAAGTATGTTTAATTATCTTTAGGCGACCTTCGTTTCGAAAAGCTCCGAATAAAATGTAAAAGCCAAACTCTCGCATGTAAGCAAAAACAAAGGTGTAGATGACTAGGGCCCTTTACCCAAGTATGGCCCATCTCATTCCGCTACTTTCCCGTCAATCCAGTATCTTGCTTGTTACTTCATTAACTAGTTTCTTCCTGTATTCTCTAGTTGCTTTATTTTCCGTTCCATTTTCTGTATTTGTTCTACATCCCTTCGTCCCTTTGTTCCCCTAACTTTCATTTAAATTCTCTATCTCCTCCTTCATTTTTCCTCGTCCCTTTGTTCCTCTAACTTTCATTTAAGTTTTTTATCTCCTTCATTTGCGTGCTTATCCCTTTGTCTCCATCCTCTCAGTTAGCAACGCATTTCATCAACCTATTTTGCTTTCCAGGCCTCAGATGACGAGCTGGACGGCATACAAGCCACCTGCAACGACCTTCTTCAAACACACGAACAACTGCGAGCTATCGTACCCAACGAACAAGTCAAAAGGCGCCTCGAGGGTGAAGCGACCTTCATAGCACAGGAATGGAGCGAAGTGTACAACAGAGAAAAGGCGCGCCTAATCAGGGGTCACTTTGAAGATTTACGATCCTCATTGGAAAGGAACATCGAGGCCCTTGATAAGGAATGGGCTGAGGTTAATGAGCAATTTAGTGGCCAGGGTTACAGTGCGGATCTTCATGAGCGATACCAGGTAGAACTTTATTGGGCCCAGTCTTTGTGTGCATGTGTCAATGTGGCACCTTAAAGTTTCTGTTGTTAGTGGCTAAATCTACAAAATGTCTTTTAGATGATAAATTATGTTATACTGTATTATTTCCCATTGGAATAATCAGATTTTTGTTTTCCACTCTTTGTGAATATCACACTCCTTGACGCCGATCAGCTTACTCGAGGCTGTTGTTTTATAAATATCGTTGTGTGAAATAGCGTGTGACATTTTCTTATACTCTCTGACTTGTACACGTCCTCAGCGTGTCTCAGTTTCTTGTGAACAAACTCAATTACTGGTGACTCCCTCCACTATTTCTTGTATTATTTGTCTCCTTTACTTATAGTAGAATAGTTTTCTATTTGGCCGAGCGAAGCGAAAGGGAGTAGAATTGCTTACAGTTTCTTGTGGTGTATTTTGCCTATTCCAGTTTGGCAGAGTCATTACCTAGCTTATAATCTCTCCTTGCGATATCGATACATTGTTAATTAGATAGGTGATATTGTCTGAATTTGTCATCAAAATAATGTGCCACAAATCTTCTGAAATGCTTTGTAGCCCAATACACTATCTTCGTAGTTTCTACCAACTCACCATTAGTTTTCTTTGTTCAGGCGGTCCTGGCATCTTCTGATGCTTTCCGTAGTGTCGAAGACGACTTCTGCAACCTCCAAGAAACCAAGACCAAGTTGACATCTCCACAAGAAGAAGAGCAGTTTGAAACTGTAATGCAACAGCTACGATCGAGATGGGAAGAGGTCAAGCGCAAGATTGAAGAGTTACATCCCAGAGTCCAGGTTATGGCTGAAAACTTCTCGGAATACAAGGAAAAGCTGCAGTCATTGGTTCACTGGGTGGAGGAGGCAGAACAAACATGCGATGCCTTGGAGCGCGTACAAGATTATAACGAATTTCAGCCTTTAATGCAGACATTTCAGGTACTGTAGGCTTTGCAGCCCTTTAGTAACAAGTAGATCATTTCGATTTCATCTTCATATGAACAGTTTTGCACGAGAACTCTTTTTGAAACAGAAGCACAAGATAACTCGGAAATGGCCTATTCCGATACTTCCTCACAGGGCACCCACTTGTTCCCTTAGGAACTAATTCGTTACTTTTCCACATCTTCCGCTGGGATATACGCTGTTCTCTCAGAGACTATGCGGAAAAACAATAAAGGACAACCTTGATGCAGGCCTTACACAGTGGAGCGGGGCACGTGGAGGGGGGTGGGATTTGAACGCATTGCCAAATACAAGAATATTAAAGAAGCAGACTCGATAAACAAGGTCTTTGTGGCGCGCTTAACATTCTCTTTGCATCTTTTGTTTATACAGGTACTAGCTTCCAAAATGGATGATCAACTTCAGTCCCTCCAAAGGCTAAACGAGTTGTCAGAAAAACTGCTGAGCTCATCGAACAACCAGGAATTCGCACAAGAAGTCCACGCCGTGACGGAACGAGTACAAGCTGCGTTACCCATAGTGCGTGAGAGGAGTAACAGACTCTCTATCATGCGTCAGTGTTTTGAACATCAGCAGTGTACTCAGAAACACGACACGTTTCTTGAGGAAGTGAAGAGTCGTCTCGAAGTGGAGTTTTGTTTAGATGGCGTGGTGGATGTGGAAAACGAGCTGGAGGTTATTAAGGTGAGGAAGGGCTTACGTCGCGGTTTACGCATCTTAAACGTTAAGCCTAAATTTTTCAAGTTCTTCGTTTGTAATCCGTGTTAATCCTCTCCATCCTTAACCATCCTTGTTCCTTTACGGCTAATTCGGCTAATTCGGATTAAAGATGAGAAACATCCATTTTGTAAAAGGCCTATTGACTAAAGCCCCAAAATAATGAGACGACATGTACAAAAACAAGAATGCAAGAAAATTCCGGTGAGATACAGAAAGACTAGATTTTTTTTGTTTTTCTTCATAGGACATTTTACAATCTCTAGACTCGCATCAAACGCAGATCGAACAAGCCATCTCCCAAGGGAAAGATCTCCTACAAAAGGAATGTGCGTCAGATTTTGTGCAAACGAATGTGACAAGGCTCGAAACTCTGTCGAATGAAGTGTCACAGGAGTGTAAACAGCGACAAGAGGAGCTCGCGACCGCACTGGACAACTGGAACCGATACAACGAGGCATTGGAGGGATTTAAGGAAGTTCTGGCCAAAGGAGAGGTCGAGGTGACTCGAAGAAAGACCTTGAATGTGACTGGGATTGAGAGTGTTGATGAACAGAAGCAGGAGATACAGGTGTGGAAATGATCAAATTCTTATTTCTCCGTACGGTTTTTATAGGAAGTCAAGCACAGAGGTAATGAGAAGAACGAAAATCGTCAACCTAGGGAATGTTGTGTGATGCGTTATCATATTCCTAGAAGTGACACGATAAGAAAAGAGTGATAATCAGAAAGGAGAATTGCTATTTTGAACCAACATAAAGGCAGCGCTCTAAAAGCTGACATTTGTTGCGTGCATGGTTTTGACTTGAAGGTGACAAAATTATAGTAAAAGGAGGACTTGAGCGGCATTCTATTGCACTTGCTGAGAAGCAAAGAACTAAGAATGTATTACGTTGTGTGCGGAGGAAACGCTGAGAGACATACCGCGTAATTCATTCGACCACTCAAACACCGCACTGTTTCCCCTCAAATTGTACCTAGAAAGCGAGCATATGAAGGATATGAAATCCTCGTTTTCATTTCTGATGTAGTTTATGAATTACTTGTTGCATCTGTTGCAGGGTTGCACAAGTCAGGAAATGGTCAGGAAAAAAAGTCGTCAAAGTCAGAAATTTTATTTTGTGTCAGGGCAAATTTACATTTGGAAAAAAGTCAGGGAAAATTGATGTAATTAAACACGGCTGATTTAATACCATTGAACGATGGAAGAAACATCTGGGGGTCACGGTGATCTCAACGACATTTTTTCCTAATGAAGGAGGAAAATTTGTTGAAAACGTATCAGTCTTAATGAAAGAGAGGAAAGGACGGCTGTAAGTTGTATTTATCTGGTCAAGTAAATTTGATTTTTTATCAGGGAAAAGTCAAGAAATTTGGAAAAGTGATATCTGTGGCAACCATGTGTACTCTTTCGTCAGGTTATTTATTTGTGAATGTAAGGTTTAATTGTTTCGTTTGTTTTTTTCCTTCCAGGACTTCCAACAAGATCTCCAAATTCAATTAGCGGAGTACAACTTCATCTTTTCTCTCGGAACTACGATCAAAATGAAAGCGAGCGAGGACTGCAAAGCCAGAATCGAGGACCAACTAAACAGCATTTCATCGCTGAAGAAGTCGCTCCTCGACGAGATTGATTCTCATCTTCAAAGCCTTAACAGCAAGTCAAAACAGTGGGAAGGGTTTCAGGAACAGATGGATAAGTTTGTGGAGTACATGGATAAAGTGGATTCTCGTTTGGAAAGGAGTCGGAGGGAAAGTCGAGTGTCACAGGAATGGCTGGCTCAGGTCAAGGTAAGGTTAGGACAGGACTTCACGGGGATACCAGCCAAAGGAATCAGGCTCGACAACGGTATCCGGTCGTTTAGTCCCCAAGTCGATTAGCCCGTAACCGTTTCGCTCCCAACCAGAAGTCGAAAACACGGTCTATCTCTCGTTCTTTAAGCTTGAATTGGGGCTAATCGACTTCTGGTTCACCGTTGGGGGCAAACCGACTAGGGGCTTATCTAGTTGGGGCTAAATGACTGCTCGCATAGGCTCTACTGAAGCTAAAGTAGCCATCTTCCAAGATATTTTAGTGATGAAATCCATAGAATGGTATGAATTGAACACAGCAGCAACATCAGCTTAATAGTGGGGCTGGCTCTTCTTCCGGTTGCCAGGACCCAAGGTAGTTGGAGCATACAGCTTTGGTTACTTGTGTGTATTTCTACAAGACACATTACTCTCTTACTTACTCCTGTTGCGTATAAGTGACTAATGGCTTGTTGTTTGTGGTGAACTTGTCAAAAAATGCAGTGTTAGATCGTAAGAATTTTACCATTATAATTCTAAGCGTATTAATAGATAACGGATGCTTCTGCTCCGCGCGTGGTTTAGTCATTAAATTTAATCGTAAAATTAAAATTTGGTTGCACAAGCGGTCTACGTTCGCTTTCATCGAAACGACTCGCACATACTTTTCAGGAGATAATGAAACTTTTATTGATGCATAAACATTTTCCTCGATCTTTTCTTTGTTCACTTGTGGATTGGGGCGTCGCGGAAGTGATGTAAAGAACTCGGCTAATATTTCTATATGCAGACCTCACGCAACAACTACATATCTTTAATTGGTGTTTCGTCCTTCAGTGGAGTCACTACATAGTTCTTTTTTTGCTCTTTCTACACAGGGAGTATCAAATGAATTGTTCCAGCGCCGGCAAAGCTTCACCGTGTTCACAGAGGAGGCGCAGAAACTTTCCGAAGGGGTCATGGATGCGGGCACCATGCAGTTCAAGGCCAAGCTGTGCAAATTGAGAGAAAGATGGAATGAACTGTTCGAGAAAGCAAGATTGTCTGAAAGTAGCGCAGAGCAGGGCCTTAAACCACTCAACGAGTATCAGGAAGTGTTTGTAGAATTCACGTCACGATTTGAAGAACTAGCAGTGAAGCTATCCACACAAGTGCCGTGTTTTGGGAGTTCTGAAGAAGTGGCTGCTCTCATCGAAGAAGATAAGGTAGGTCATATATAATAATTCTTTCTTGTTTTGTGGTGACCAAATTCTAATTTCTCCTTTGCACATCGGTAAATTGCCAAACAAACAGGTGAGGAGAGAAAAGTAAATTATCAGCCAGGGGGACGATATACTTCGAAATTCTCAAAACTTACATTAAAAGAAATGTGGGGTAATTACCATGGATAGTTTCTGATTTGGTCATAACTGAGCTCGTACAAGTTCTTAACCATCCTTAGTATTTTTTTACTTACTAGAATATTATTTTGACATTGCCTTTCATTTGATATTTGAAAGATATTGCTCCGTTGACCACCTAAAAGTCCAGGATTAAGTTTAGAGGCTTAATCTCAATGAGACAGAGAGAGAAATTTAAATTACACTCTCTCGACCATACCACATCAGCGCAACGCCAGTTAGTGGTTAAGTGGGTCCCTCGTGTCACTTAGCAACCATTCAAAGATATTGAGTTCTCAAACTCACTAATAATGAATCAAGTTTAAACAAAGAAAGTCATAACTTTAACGGTATTTTGATATCTGGTCTTAATAAGCAAAGTTTTCTTACGATTTTATTTATCCGTTTTCTCGTTGGTTTCAGCTTCGATTGAGACAGTGGTTGACCACATTTCCAAACACCTCTAAGTCCGTCAAACATACTCGGCTCACGTTGTATTTTTAACTCTCTTCTCGGTGTTTGGAAATTTGGTAGAACACGGTCTTCCGTGTTAGAAAAATAACGTCAATCGTGGGCATGGTAACGTTTCATATATGCCTCACTCAACTGTCATTGCTTTCAGATCCTGCTTGCAGACTTGCGCGAATTGAGAGGTGTTCTCGACAACTTGATCTGGAAAGGCTCCGAGCTCTCGGCAAGCATGCGACTCAAAGACCTCGATATCAAAGACACGCTGAAGCAATTGGAGGAGAAATGGAACCAAGCTGTACAAGATGCCGAGAAGAAACTGTTAGACTTGGATGACCTGAGGATGGACTGGGCCGAGAAAGAAGAGATGCTGGTGAACATGGAATCATGGGTAGTTCAAGCTGAGGATCAGTTGGAAAACGAAAGAGGATTGTCGAGTAGAGACGAGGAGAGCTTAAGGGAGGCGCTGGCTTATTATGAAGTAAAAATCGTTTTATCTCTCGCGATAAACAGTGCTACGAAAATGCGCTTGCCAACATGCATACAGTTGAAGGCGTGAATACTAAGACAATTTGTTTGCTGCCTGTACACAAACCAAGTAAAATAACAGTAACAATGCCAACATCAACAACAACAGGAAAAACAACAACAACAACAACAACAACAGCAGCATTGATGACGTCAGTAACAACAACCAAACGACTTAAATCTTAAAAGAGAGAGTGAACAGGTTGAGGACCAGACATTTTCTCTGTTACTATGTGAAGGTTTCGTCAATCGACCGTTACACATGTATAAAAAATTTTAAATCACATCATCATTGATCTTGTGATCGGTGCTGGTATTAACGCAATCTTGAGTCTACATTTTACTTAGGCTGTTTACCTTATTCTCAAGATTGGATACTTTTCTTTTAGGGCGTAAAGAAAGACATGCAAAGCTGCGAAGTGGATTTCAAATCAGCGGTCGAAAACTACCAAGAGTTGTCCAACACAGGCAAGTACATGTTATACATCCAAGATAGGCTGGTGGACGAGAAGTGTGACTCCCTGAGAAAGAAATGGGAAGCCCTGGCGAGCGGCATCCCGGAAAGAGTGGAAACTCTGAAGGGGGAGCTGCACAGCTGGAAAAGCTTCCACGAGAAGTTGGACGCGTTTATAGCTTGGGTCGATGAGATGGAAGCGTTTACTAAGGTAGAGAAACCACGTGACGAGACGGAGGCCGCGCAACAGCTGAAAGGACTGGAGGTGAGTGATCATTGGCAATGTTCAGTTCACTTACTGGAAAGCTTTTCTTTATCATGATACATAAAATAAGAACGTTACTAAGCTCTGAACTGGACGGAAAATGATTGTTTTCCGTCGTTTGAAAGCGTAAAGCTCAAAACGGTTTGCCCTTAAACGGAACAGGATTCAAATTTATGAAAACATCTCATCTGACCAAAATAGACCGTCTTCGTATTCTCGGTATTGGACTGGAACTAGCTTGCAATGGAGGCTCATGTGGGGAATATCATTAAAAAGAGATAAAAGTCATTTGCATTTGAAAAGACTCCCCGCATTAGCCTCAGTTGCAAGCTAGTTCCAGTCCAATACCGGGAATACGAATATGGTCTTTTAGTGCATTTGGCGAGCTGTTGTCTGCCGGTGTCTAATTTGATCTCTTAATTTTTCTGTTGCCAGGAGTTTCAGTCCAACTTCAGAGGCCGCCAAGACTCGTTCGAATCCCTCGTGAAAGAAGGCCGGGAAGTGCGACTCCAGGCGAGCAAAGGCGAAGAAGCCGAGCGACTCGGCGAGAAGCTCACGAAGTTAACCGATCGTTGGGACGAAATGCTCCGATGGGCTGCCGGAAGGTACCAATTGTTGGTTTTATCACGCCATTACCTGGACTCCTCCAAACAGGTGGTACAGTACCTGGAAAAGATTGAAGAGAAGCTGAGTAGTGCTAAGGATATACCACCGACAGTGTTGGAGAAAATCAAAGAGGAATCCAGAAAGGCTAAGGTGAGATATATTGGGTTATTAACCAGGCGTGAGGTCAAGATGGCTGGATATTAGCCTAGTTCATTTTTCGCTTGATTATGGACCGCGACGGAGGCGAGGTTCATTATCTTGCAAAAAAAGAATGAGGCCAATATTTAGCCATCTTGATTGAACAAGCTTGGGCAATAAAGGATTTATTGTATTGAAAAAGAACACTATTTTCTTGCGAGACACAGCTGGTAATCCCGAGGGGACAATATAGCGCCATCATTACGGTTGGTTAGCCAATTACAGCGCAGGATTCGGGTCATTTTGCTCGCTCACGGAGCTAGCCATATAATGAGTTTTGTCTACATAATTGTCCTTCTCCACATGTGATCTGCCATTTGTTAGTTAGGGCTAGCTCTTAGACAGAGTTCTATTTCCCATCCGCGTATGTGTTAGTCCTGCCTGGCTCTAAATTCTTTGCTATTATTCCATTAACTACTATTCTGTCACTTCTGTTTCAACCCCAATCCAGGCTAAGGTGGATTACTGGAAGCAGCAGTGTCTTGATCTCGACGTGGTGGTGAAGGAAGGACATCTGATGCTGCAGCAGGAATCCTCCGGGCAGGCCGTGGCGTTCGACGAGAAACTCGGTAACCTGAACATGGAATGGCACACGGTGATACAGGATGTGGAGGAGAAGAAAAAGAGCATCGAGAAAACTGCCAAGAAGTGGTGGGATTTCACCAGGAACAAGCTCAAGATGATTCGGTGGCTAAAGAAGAAAGAAGGAGACGCCGAACTGCAGAACGCGACAAGCTGTCGCCTCGACAGTGCACAGGATCAACTTACTGCATATCAGGTATGGCTTCCTGTTGGACAAACCTCCCGATAACTCCAACCAAAAGTTGTCTCCCTCACCTCAGTTGGACACTCGTATTTTACCCCCAATTTCTCGAACTACCCGGTTTTTCAAACCAATTTTTGTTTCCCTTAGAGATTTGAAAAATCGGGATCCACTTTAGATACCATTTTTTACGAGCGCTCGTTGAGTTATCTGTGAATAGATGACGCAAAAATGTCATTTGAACAATAAAATTAGTTAGCCTTAAATGTCAGTTATCTCCTAGACTGCGAGCTGTCTGTCTTTTCTTCGAAAATCCTGTGACTGTGAGCGTGACACGTCGCGCTCACAGTCACGCTCGCACGCTTACTTGTTTTGCTTACTTCCCCGCGGTTTTCGAGGAAAAGAGAGACTGCTCGCAGTCTTGTCATCTCCCGCCTCCTGTCGCCCAGGGATTTGGCTGGTAGCGGCTACAATAAAGTGGTCGGTGAGACCGAGAGACTGGGAAACAGAGTCGAGATGGTTTTCCATCATTTGACATCATTTGAACCGACGAGTGGCGAAGTATAATATTTTGTCGTAAAACAGACCATTTTGGAGACAATTAGGCATGTATTTCACGGCAATCGGCCTAAAACGTTTAAGCTAATTCGTAGACTTAAACAGACATTGTGAACTTGAAAAGATGTTCAAGAACTCAAAAGATCTTATAAAGAGAAATTCTGAAAATAAATTTCTCTTTAAAATTTCCACAATCGAAATATAAGGAAGTTTCTTAAGGCAGAATTGTGTCACAGGTAGCTTCAAAATTCTGTTCTGGAAAGTTGGTGGAAACAGTTTATAAATTGCGTGACATTTAAATTATACATTGTGGGACTGTTAAGTCCATGAAAACAGGTTATACACTGTGACAATTAAGTTGATGTAAGCAGTTTAATTATACATTGTGTGACATTTGAGTTGGTGTAAAAGCAGATTATACGTTGTTTGAAAATGAGCGTTACATTCATTGTGTGACAATAAGCGTTACATTTATGCGTGATGATGTACCATGCCGTTTCAGGGCATTCTTGATCGACTGAACGCCCACAAGCGTGACCTAGAAGCACTGAATAGAGCCGCGCAGGACATGATGGAGGTCGACGAGGCCGGCTGTGCTATGAAGGAAATCCAAGAGTTAATCGAACGCTTTGAAGCACTACAAAAGAACATCACGGAGAAGAGAGAGTTCTTCCAGAGAGTCACGGGCAAATGGTTCAAGTTTGCTGAGCAGAAACACAAAATGAACGCCTTCTTTAAGAATACCCACGGGATTGTTACCAAGCGACAAGTCAAGAATGCTGATGACTGCAAAAAGCAGATCGAAGAGTGCAAGGTTACTGAACTCGTCTCTGCTTCGACCTATTTTCTTGTTTTACAACAGCTTTAATGGTTTCCTTTTCAGAATTGCATAGAATTGCACGTACATAGTTTGGAAAAACTGAATTCATTACATAATCGTGTTTCATCGGAGATATAAATTATTGAGTCGCAAATGGATGAGCACAAGAAAGAGCGACAGCCACCCAAGGCCGTCTTTTTAGCTATCAACATGTTTAAACACGCATTGCATGCCTATGTGCATACGATTTGTTCGCTCGGGCCTTTTCACATGGAAACAGGTTTATACTTCAATGGAAAATTATTTAATTGTGGGAAGATGATTTTCCTGTCAGTAACACAGACACTTTCGGAAAAACAAATCCGAGTTCTGCAGATAGGAGTCCATCATCTCATTTATGATCACAATTTACTGGTGTTGTTTTTCTCTGCTCTACCTTTGTTTCATCGATGTGTTTCATGAATAAGTTTTATAGTGGAGCTCCAGTACCCGAGGCGCATCAGTGGAGAACCATGTGTAAGAATTATATATTAAAGGATTATTTTGAAATCATCGTTTCAGGCTGTTGGTCAAGATCTGTTGGACAATGAAGCAGTCTTGGAAGCAGTTAATCAGGAAGCACTTGACTTGCTGCAGGAACTAAGACAAGGGGAAGGACTCGTGGATATGCTGGGATTCGAGGAGCAGCTGCGTTTGGTCAACGAGACGTGGAATGAAGCTAAATTTCAGGTGCAAATTGAATATCATTTCGGTCCTTTTTTGGGCTATCCTATTCTAATTTCGGTAAAGCATTGTTTTTTTTTTCTCTGCACATGTTTCTGTTTTTCGGAGTAAGAACACCTCTCATGGAATAGACCTTATCATGGTTTTCGACGCCATCTTGACGGGTAGGCAAAGTGGTCAGAAATTAAAGTGTTTGTATGGGAATCTGATGGCAAATATCTCTTTGCAAAATTGAATTTTACTCAATTTTTGAATCGCAATGTTAAAATACTATGTGGAAGATTGTATTCACCAAGTTTGAAGGATGTAGCTTGGCTAGAAGACTCTCATTTGATTGCCAAGCTATATCCTTCAAACTTGGTGAACACAATCTTCCACATAGTATTTTAACATTGTGATTCACAAATTGTGTAAAATTCAATTTTGGAAAAAGATATTTGCCATCAGATTCCCATACAAACACTGTAATTTCTGACCGCTTTGCCTACCCGCCAAGATGGCGTCGAAAACCGTGATAAGGTCTATTTGAGAAATGTTGGCAACATTTATATCATGTTAAGTACTAACCTTCGTAAGTTTGTAGCCCTGGTTGAAATGAGGTGTTAGGAAAAATACGTGGCCAGAGAATGTTTTGAACGGCTAGTAGATTTATACTAAAACACTTAGATTATTCCCTCTCTATTTCAATGCGTGAAAGAAATCGAGAGGATATAATCTTATTGATAAATATATCATCATGCACTAGAACAAAGGAAAATAGCAAATTGTACCAAGGGTAATATTGAACCACAACAAGTACACTGAAGTCAACAACTTTACAGGTGCAGCAGCTCAAACTATTTACTATTTTACAAGTACGTTTGGCTAGAAAACTAATGACGGTGTTTTGATTTTTACTGAATAGGTTGGAGTGAAGCAGCAAGCGCTTGAGCAAGTGGCCAATGAGTTTGAAGTTCTGGAGAAAGACAAGGACGAAATCCAGCAGTGGATCTCTGATGTCAAGAAGGAGTTAAACACAACCGCTGACCAAGAGGATCAGAATCCGGAAGTTGTCGTGCGACGGAAGAAGTTAAAGGTTTGTTGTGGCAAAGAGCGAAGTTGATTAAGGAATGATCCATTTTGAAACTAAGGCAAAAGGAAATCGAACGTTTCTGATCAAGAGGACTTTCTCTAGAGGACTTTCTCTAGAGGACTTTCTCTAGAGGACTTTCTCTACCATTGAAGAACCAGGGCTTCGCCGGGGTTTTCATTCACAATTTGAAATATACTTTGTTGAATATCTTCGTAATTTGTTATTTGTAGGATGAAGTGGCTTCACGCGAGGATCAACTGAAGAGACTGAGTCTTCAGGCGTTGAAGCTTGTCGAAGATTTCTCAGATAGTGTCGATGTTGATGTGAGCGAATCTTTCCAACCCTTCTTTCAAGAATGGGGCAGCGTTCAAGAACTTGCCGGAATCCCATTAGATGGAAAACAGAAGGAGACACTAGGAAGGCTCAAACGTCCAGCTTCTGTCCCGCCACAGTTAAGCATTCAAGACGATAGCGAGGAGGAGTTCCTTACGGAGTTTCCCGAAGCTGGTCCTTTGCGTCGCTTCGCGTTTCGGAGTTACTCATTCGGAAGCGAGAACTCTTTGGACGTGCGCGCTCGGAGGAGCTCGTATGAATGCTCGATGGACACGCTATGGAGCTCGAGTAGCACGTTTTCAATCAACATTGACAACAGAGACGACGAGGACGATGAAACCGCGGGTATATATATCGATAACGCTCTAGGAAACAACGAGGTTTTTGTAGGAGGCAGCGAGCCGAACCTTCTAGATAGCCGCACCAGAGAGAACACTTTATCTTCCCAAGACTACCCCAAAGAGGTAGCTGCTAAGATAGGGGGCTCTTCACTCGAGGTGGAAAAGTGTTCTAAGGAGAGCTTGGAGACAGTGACAGGCGAAGACACACAAAGACCTGATAGGACAGAAGAGGAGATTAAGACCCTGCTGGATGACGTCATACAAAGGATTGCAGACACTTGCAAGAGACTCTCTGTGTGTGCTTACACACCGGATGATTCGGTGGAAGAAGTGGAGCGAAAACTCCGGGAGAGCAAGGTTTGCCATTTTTCAAAGTCTTCTTACCTAGATTTTAGTCTTTAAAGGTTAATCATGTTACTATAGTAAGAGAGTTTGAGCTACGTAATTTGGGAAAACCAACGTACATGGCGTTATGTTATTCACTTACCTTGGGACTATGCTCGATGAACAGCTTCACTGGAAAGAGCATATAGACACTACTTGTAAAAAAGTTAATAAGCGTCTAGGACTTCTAGCA